GGTCTTCAGAAGTAACAGTAAACTGTTAATGCTGATTTGTACCTACCTCTATTATAGGAGCAATCATTTTGCATGGTCCACACCACGTGGCATAGAAATCAACCACAGTGAGTTTGCCCTCGGCAATGACAGCGTCAAACTGTGCCTGTAGAAGGGTAAACGTGAAACATTTTATGAAAGTCTGCCGATGGGCAAAACATATGGCATATAGTTCATCATATGCCATATATGAAATGTGTTCATATTGTAAAAGACTTTAAAATCATAAACTGTAATATTAGATAGATTGAATAAATTACTACATTGTAGTAATTTGTTAGCTGTAGATGTGCAGCTCACTGATATATATATAATGCATGAAGAAAAAGAATAAAACAGTCAAATCTCATTATCCCGAACTTAATGGAACTGAGAAAAAAACTTTGATTTATCCAAGGATTTGAGATATTCATGGTAATACTTTAAGAATATTAAAGGGGTTGGGACTTCAGTTCAAAACACATTGACATATATAAGGTATTCGAGATACCAATTTTAACTGTAGTACACCACAAACAGAGATGGCAGCTTAATTATACAAAAACATGCACAGTAAAAACTGTTATAGTGTCAGATCATACAACATGTTCAGCTGAGCTGGTAAAAAAGAAGTCTGCGACCATTAAATCAGCATTTAAATAGCTGCAAATAACAATTGAGAAAATAGTTATTTCCATTCTTATGTAATTTATGCATTTTGTTAGATGTTTACGCACTTGTTGCATTTTTGTAAAATGAAAAATAAGGATTGTGTTTTAGAGTTACTCTTATGTTATTATCGTTTGCAGCTAACTGTAAAGTTTCACGTTACGCCACGATCTAGTTGACAGCTGCACTCAAGGTAAATAGTACACGCCTCCTAACAGCAAGCTTTACTACTGGAACTTTCTTCTTATCCCTGATTGGTTGCTCGTGCAACAGACTATTTCCGTGTCAATGTTGATAATTTGGGTTGACCAATCACGTGAATTGTTTACTCTGGATGCATCTGACGAAAAAGATCGTGACGTAACGTGAAACTTTACAGTTAGCTGCAAACACTAGTAAAATCAAAAGCCTTCAGTCCTTCAATGATTCAATCTCATAAATACTTTTAAAAATGTTTTACTCAATTAACTGCCTCAAAAACTGGTCCATTTCACAAAACATTTGCATTAGAATGTTCCTTTTTTAAAGTACCGTACTACTAAGTATTCAACTGTCTAGTCATCCTTATCTGAGATTCCTCTGACTCTAACCCCTGCTTTTTTATATTGTGACATGTGCACGTGACACAATATAAAAAATAGGGGCTCTCAGAATTCTCAGATTATAGTCTTCCATTTCTCAAGCCTGAAAAAAACTGGGTGAGGATTTTGCGAAAAAAAGGTATTTACGGAAGTCATTTTTTCTTCATATACATGACTAGGACCCTCCCTACTAGTTTTACGGGCCTGGTTGGGGGTGTTTCCAAGGTCATTTTATTGTTAATTTCACTTTTGAATTTGATATTGACAAAGTTTTCTGTAAATCCCATGAGGCACGATGGGTAGCCTGTATCCCAATTCTTGACACCCCCAGATCCATCCCATTGTTTTCAGGAAATTGTGGAGAATGATAGATTAGAGACAGACTTTTGCAGCCTTAAATTTCAAAGCCCCCCCCCCCCTCCCAGATATTTTCAAAAATATAAAGTTTCCACACTTTTTTTGCATACTTCATGCAATAATGAATTAATAATAAAAATTAAAAACTTTTCCTTCTTCTCTTGTTTTGTCCTTTTCAACCAAAATTTGTGAAACATTTATATTATTTTAATTATCTAAAAAATTTCAAAACCTGAAACCATGAGGAATAACTGTTGTAAAATTATGTTTACATTTGCCAAATTTTCTATTATAAATACGAAAGCTGAATTCCAGTTACCGAAAAAAAATTGATATATTTCGAAATGTCACGCGCTACCTACTGGTCAACACAGGGGCGAAATACCCGTAATATGACCCGCCCTTATTCTTGGCAACAGCAGAACAAGAATTGGCATTAATGATTCAGAAAATAACAATTAAAGAAAGACGTCTCTTATATTATAAAAGATAGTTTTCTTACCTTATTTGCTAAAAGTCTAACCATCTTGACAACTGGAACACACCTTAAACAACAGGACTTGATATATTTCTAAAAATTCTAAGAAACACTACAATATGCGTCGGTGCGCAGTGCAAGAATTCTACTTCCGTGTTTAAGAGATTGAGACTACCTTTTTTTTTAAAATCTTCTACTAAGCTGAATTGCGGCATTTAAATCATGTTCGTGATAGAATGCTTGACTTATGGACCTCTCGGAAAGGTGTGAATATAAAAGTGTACTTTTAATGTATAGTTCTTGGCTCCAAGTTTTTCTAAACCAAAAAATGTACATGTATATTTTTGTTCACGTTTTGGAGATTAACTTTCAATTAAAACGGAGTAAAGACCCACTCGTATTCCAAAATTTTGTTCAAAATGATCCCGTTTATCATCTTTAGTTTGTATATGTTATTTCATATATAGGCAAATAATTTCAGTCGTTGTGAGATTTTTTGTAAATTGTAGAGATTTTATAAAAGTACATGTATATGTTAATGTTAGATGAAATATCAAAGAAATATTGCTATAATATAGTAATTGAGATTTGATTTTTTAAATCCGTGTTTTTCACATTTATGTATTTCGCCCAAATATCCTTTCATCCCCCGGCCTTCCATGAAGCCTGGGGGTGGGATTGAACCCACCAAATAAGAGCAATCTTTTTAAAATAAGAGAAATCTTTTTAAAAATTTCACTCTTTATTCCTCGATATCAGACAGTCGAACTGTTGAATAATTGTATAAGCATCAAATCATCTACCAGAATTATTAAATTCATTACCCTTGGCCTTGGGGCAGGTTTCTGGTGATCGCTGCATTTCATTTCCGGAAATATGCATAGCATTTCCGACATTTTTTTATTTCATTTCCGACATTTTTTGTTTTCATTTCCGACATAATTTTGTTTTCATTTCCGGAATTTACCTGTGCGGTAATTCAATGTTTTCTTAAGTGAAAAATGGAATTTTAAAAGTATTTATTACAAAATATTGATGAAAAATTAAATTTAAAAAAAAAACATCAACACATTTAAGCATACTTGAGCAATAAGTCTAGATAAAAGAGTTCAATGAGCATAAACTTTTTCACCACATCTAATATGCATTAAATTAAATGTCAGTGACAGCACCACACTTATGTACAAGTCATTGATAGATTTACAAAACTCAGATATTGTATTTCAATGATTTATTTATGATTTTTTCTTTAAATTTATCATAAGTAAAGTCTTAAGATCTCTTACTAAAAGTACTACATATGTTTTTGAAAAATGTCGGAAATGAAAACAAAAAAATGTCGGAAATGAAAAATAAAAAATGTCGGAAATGAAAAGTTGATAATTACCAAAAATTCCGGAAATGAAATGCAGCCCTGGTGATAATACATGTAAAAGGAAAGCAATTGATTCTTTGAAAACCTCGACTTCTGGGTATTTTACAGTTAAACTAAGTGCATGGTTTGTTTACCGAGTCAGATTGCTTCTTCCCCAAGACTAATAGGTACATGTATTATGTTTGTTTCCTCTAACCCGACCGACCAATTAAATTTGCACACAGGTGGATTTTTTCTGCCAGATCTGTCTATGAATATTCAACTGTATTTTTGAAACATTGGAAATGTAATACTTTTTAAATATACTAAATTTATACAGGATACAATAACGAAAGTTTTAACAATGGAAAACATTCACAATTCATACAAACATTTACAGCGTTATATTATACTCAGGTGACTGTCCAGGCCCTTGGACCTTTTGTTAATCATTGTATATATAGTAAATTGATCTTGACCATGTGCCTTCACCTTTCCTTTAGAACACCTTTCAAGTACTGTTGAGCCAAAGTTGCTCACCCAAAAAATACTTAAAAAGAGGCTAAAATGTGGAGGTTAGAGTTAACAGCAGACAGACAAACTTTCAACCTTTAAGGTAGGATTCTTCTCACATTTCTTGTATTTAAAAATTAATGAAATTTTCACAGAATCAAGAGGACAATATCACTAAGTAATGCAATCAGTGATATTAAATTTGACCGTTTAATATTAGAGGCAAGGTCAGGTCAAGGTCATTACCATTTTCCTGGACATTAAGAATAAAAAAAAAATACCGTTTCCAATCATGCGATCCCTACTTGTAATTTGAAAGATTGAATATTTTTCTATTTGCATTAAAAAAATTACTTTTCTTAAATTTTTAGGATTTATTAGTTATTTTTATATGCTTCCTCCATTTAACTTTTTCCAATTTTCACATATAGTAAAGTTGTCACATAAAAGTACAAAATGATACAAAAACTAAGTTTTGATCGTTTACTAAGAGAGAAATAACACTTTTTACGGATTTTTGGCTCAAATCTGTACTTAGATTTGAAGCATTTAAAAGCCAACATAGTTCTAGTATATTAGAATCTTATTTATTTGATATATTTTGAAACTTTAGTCCCTTTTTATTAATTTAACTTACATTTGAAAATTTCGTCTAGTCTTTGATTGCAACTTACATTTGAAAATTTCGTCTAGTCTTTGATTGCGTAAAAATTATAACTAAATTCAATGTTCTATAATAATTTTGAGAGGCAGAAAAGGAGATATTTTCATACGCAAACATTCCGCCAAAAATATAGTCTCTGTTAGTTTTCACACGCAGTTTTCCTTTTCTATTTAAAGTCGTAGAAAGAAAAATATGGTCTTTTAAATCTCTTACATCTAAATATGTAATACATATCAACAAATGTACTTTGAATATTCCATCTAATCAGAAACCAGAGAAAAAATCCTACCTTAACTCTGGTGAGTTTGCCTGTAACTACACTGCAAGTATTTCTGTAGGTAGCAAATATTAAAACATATGACAAAATTTTGATTGTAAAGATTTTATTGCATAATGATGCAAAAAAGGCCACAATGTGCAATACTGTATAATAGAAATTCATGATTATCAATACCTTGATAAAAATGTTATCATGTACAATATGTATAAATTACTTTTTTTCTCTAAAATATCCTTTTTGGATGTCTTCAAAGTACTTTGTATTTAATGTATACTCTTAGCTGGTAAAATTTTTCATAGTATGAAACAATTGCATAATGTTATTCAAATTGAAACGAAAAATTAATTCAAATGTATCCTACCTAATTATAAACACTTAACAATGGAAACAAAATGCCCTTCTGGTACATTCATCACAGTCAAACTCAGAATTTACAGAAAAGGTAGATAAATATCTATTACAACAATTATACATCATAAAGAAATTTTTTACTAACATGATTTCTCAAATTTATTTAAGCTTTTCTACTAATTCCTTAATTTTTCCCTCATCTGCTCCAACTACTTCATCCAGCTAAAAAAAAGATACAACAAATAAATTAATTTGATATAAAGACATTAATGGAAACCGCTTTAAAATTATTTTAAAGAAACATTCCATAATTACAATTATGCATCAAATCATGCATTTTTCTTCTCTGGGCAAAGAAACTTTTTTATATGAATATCTAAGAATACGATACTCTAAATTCCTAATTAGAGGAATTTATTACCGCATAATTTTGCGAGAAGCATCAATCTCGAAATAAGATAACTTGCTTTTGTTTTAATGTTGCTGAAACCCTACTCCTACAAGTAAGAGCCTCAGTTAACGTCCCTACGCTCCTTATCTACGTTGGACTCTTACCCGGTACATCCGAAGGCCATTTTCTAACGAGCTCGTTCCGCCTGAGATTTTGGGCGGAACATACTATGCGTGAAATAAAATGTTAACAAGTAATTTACAGGTACCTACATATTTGCATGGGGTATGAAAGTCACAAGAAATCATAAAATCCATTTTATTCAGCATGCATTATTATATATTTATGAAAATTGTCATTATTCCAATTTCTCACCAGAAGTATTATATATTTATGAAAATTGTCATTATTCCAATTTCTCACCAGAAGTACTTTCGATTTGACTTCACATTAATTTTATGGATTGCAAGTCAGAAACCGAAATTTTCATTGCATTAAATTAGTTTCGTTTTGTCAAATTTTCTGCATTCCATTCCCGATTTAAATAGAAGACTTGTTTCAATTTCTGCTTCGATTTTAAAAATAATGGATTTATTGCTAATATGCGAGATTATAACAGTGTTTTATGTGCAAATTTTGTCGTAAATAGTGAGTATTATATTATTTCAAGCCATTTGTTAATATACAAAGTCTTCTTCTTTAATTAAATAATTTATTTCCACTTGGGGTTTCAGCGGCGAGAATTTTTACAATGGATGCTAGAGGTTACACGGCGCCAAGTCAAAAGTATCTCGCAGTGAACCTCTAGCATGCTGGAGTAGCTGAAACCCATGTTAATTCTCTTGATCAACCGCCTTTTTGCGAATTCATATTCTCTTGATGTTAAAGAGCCATTTCGCGATAAGTACTCACAAAAAATAAGGAATCTATAGTATATTATTTATATTATCGTATCAATTGCTCTCTACTAACCTTTTGCCCACTCTTGTAGAAGTGAAACGTTGGCATGGCTGAGATTCCACAGGCTTCAGCAGTATCCTACCATAAAAACACAACCCTCATCATTATTAATTTCATTATAAAATTTCTAGATCAAGAGATAATTTCATCAAAAATTACACAAATTTGGTATGTGAATCTTCCATCTTTCATTTATATCAGAGACTTACAGAATTTTCATCAACATCAACCTTGACGAAATTCACGTCGGGATTGGCAGCTTCCATTTCCTGTAATAAAACAACAACACAGATTTATAGACAAAGTAGGAGGACTTCATTTTACTTCAACACAAAAATATTATTACATATAGTATCATTTATAAAACAGATTTATTGACAAGCATGTAAACCAATAGAACAGGCCTGTATTTGGAACTAAATTTCTCTCAGAATAGATACATTTTTTGGAAGGCCAAGAATTGATTACATTAAATGAAAATAAAATTTTTGGTCGAAGAAATTTTATCAAGAGAGAATTCTTTTGATAAAATTGGAGGCAACAAACAATATATTTGGGGAGGGGGTCAACCTATGCAATCTTTCTACATTACAAAATAAAATTAATTTAAACATGTTAAAAAAGAACAAAGACTTTCTGAAATAACTCAACTCAAACATCACACAGAGTTCTAAGCAAAATCATAATACATGTATTTATTTTCTCCCCTCAAAAATGACCAGCCAGTGACTCATCTTTCAATGACCTGGGAATTCCAAAATATTAGAAATCCATGGTTATGTGCAAGTCAAATATTTTTATCAATTTGACTCAAGCCAGATCTCTATTTATGCTAAATAGAGGTCTGGCTCTAGTCAGATTGATATTTTTATCAGCAAAACTTTGAAATGTTTCATGTATTCTCTTATAAGATGATGAAAAAATGTGAAAAAATTTAACAATGGGTATAATTTTTTGCATAGTACATATGTTACTCACATTTAAATCAATATGAAAATCAATACATTATGTACATACATCCTCTACTACTAGTTCTCAATGAAACAGGTTTTTGATATAATTATCAGTAATGTTTTAAAAGCTAGCTATATCTTGCTCTTATCATGAGCTGTGTTTTGTTACCTTGAGAATTAAATTTAATTTTTAAAAATTCAAGATCTCTAGTCAACAATGTCAAGCATTTAACATTTTCAGACCAGTTATATTTTCATTTCTCAGAAATTACTGGTCTGAAAATCAGAATCTGGTATGTATGACATTGTAGATCTCTTACAGCGTAACCTTACCATTACTTTTTCCAGATCAGTGACCTAAAGATATGTAGCTCATTTAATGTGAAACACAATTGGAATACCATCAAATACTATGTTAATTACTTATTCAAGCAAATTTGTGCATGATTTATTATTTAACAAAGACTCATTTATTAGACAAACACCAGTATTCTCTTGAGTTAAGCTTTCCGAAGTAAACATCGATTTGTACCTACCGTTATTTAAGGCTTTCAGAACTAAACATTGATTTGTACCTACCTCTTAGGCTTTCAGAAGTAAACATTGATTTGTATCTACCTCTATCTTAGGCTTTCAGAAGTAGACATTGATTTGTACCTACCTCTATTTTAGGAGCAATCATTCTGCATGGTCCACACCACGTGGCATAGAAATCAACCACGGTGAGTTTGCCCTCGGCAATGACAGCGTCAAACTGTGCCTGTGGAAGTATAAATGTGAAATATTTCATGAAAGTCTGCGGATGGGTAAAACATATGGCATATACTACATGTAATATATGTCATATGCCATAACATGAAATATGTTATAAAGATATTGTAAAATCCTTTTCAATCATAAACTGTAATATTATATAAATTAAATACTGCATACAGGGAAATTTTGGTCCCTATTTTATTTTGGCCCCTTTCCCCCATCCTCCTTTGGGTGAACATAAAACAGGACAGTTTCAATGAATATGGTATAATTTCTTAAACAAAACTATGACTAGGCGAATTTGATAAAACGGGACAAAATTGTTTTCAAGCGTATTGTAACCCTGTATACAGTAAATCAATGTACATCTGCAGCTCACTGATATGCATGAAAGAAAAAATAATACAGTGAAACCTCATTATATCAAACACAATAGGACAGAGAAAATCTTCCGAAATATCCAAGGATTGAAGACATCCATGGTAATGCACATAAAGAATAAGGGCCGGGTTAACTTCAATTCAAAATACGTGGACATATCCATGGTATCTGAGATACTAAAGTTCAGCTGTAGTACAAACAAACAGAGATAGCAGTTTAACATTACACAAAAACATGCACAGTTATAGTGCCCACAATAAATACTCAGCTGAGCTGGTAAAATAACAATCTAGGACCATTAAATCAGCATTAATCGTTGCAAATAACAATTGAGAAGATAGTTATTTCCATTATTATGTAACTAATGCATTTTGTTAAATCTTTATGTCTATTGTTGCACAAAATATAAAGTTGTGTTTTAGAGTCGCTCTGACTATTGATTATGATATATTACAATCAAAAGCCTTCCAAATCAGATCATGAATACATTTAAATCATTATCAGTTATCTGGCTCAAAAAATCAGTCATTAGCCAATCAAAATACGCTTCACAAAACATTTGCATTTATTCAGAAGGTTGATGGTTCCTTTTTTGAAGTATGGAAGTAATATATAACTCTCTAGTCATCCTAATATGAGATTCCTCCGACTCTAACCCCTGCATTTTATATTGTCATTTGTGACATGTGCACAACACAAAAGCAGGGGTTAGACTTAGAGTCAGAGGATTCACCGATTATATTAATCTATTTCCCAAATCTGAAACCTTTTTCCTGAGGGGTGGGGATTTTGTGAGGAAAAAGTATTTACTGAAGTCAATTTTTATTAATATACATGACCATGACACTCCTGACTAGTTTTTGGGGTCTGTGTTCCCTGTGGGTGGGGTGGGGTGGGGTGTTTCTGATGTCATTTACTGTTATTTTCACATGTGAACTTAAAGTTTTCTGTTAATCCCATGGGTGGTCTTTATCCCAACTCTTGACACCCACAGTAGATCCGTCCCATTGTTTTCAGAAAATTGTAGAGAATGGCAGAGAAACCTTTTTGCAGCCTTCATTTAATTCTAAGCTTCCCCTCCCTTCCAGCATTTTTTTAAATTAAAATTTCCACTTGAATATTTTGCATATTTTGTGCAATTTATAATCATCTTTTTTCCTTTTCAGTCTTTTCCCAAATAATGAAATATTTGTGGAATTATGTATACGTATTATCTAAAAAGTTTCAAAACCTATTCAACTTTACACTTACAGGAATATTGGGGAACTTCTGTTACATATGCCAAGTATTCTATTGTAAATCTAAATGTTTGTGCTGAATTCCAATTACCGAAAAATAAAATATATTTCGAAATGTCACGCACTACCCACTGGTCAACACCTGAACACTAGCCTAGTGTTGTTCTTCTGTTGTCAAGAGGAAACCGGCGTCGGGTATTGACTAGGGCGAAATACTTGTACCCGGCGCCGGTTTCCTCTTGACAACAGAAGACTTGGCATTAAGAAAATAACAATTAACGTTAATAGTCTCTTCTTATACTATGAAAGATTGTTTTCTTACCTTATCTTCTAAAATTTTAACCATCTTGACAACTTATTAAACGGGTAAGGAACACACCTTAAACAACAGGACCTATGATATTGCAAAATTTCTAAGAAACACTACAATGTGCGTGGTGCGCGCTGTAAGAATCCCACTTCCGGGGACTAGGTAGAACGGAAACAATCAAAGTACTAAAAGTACTTGAACATTTTCTTCCTAGATGTTGCCCACGGCGATAATTTTCATTTGATCATTAAGATTAAAGAATGCTGGATGTCAACAAATTCATCATTAGATATAATTTAATTTTTTTGGATATGCTATCTTAAGAAGTCAACTCTTATAATACATGCATGGCAGGTACGTAGCATCGTTTTTGAAAGTGGGCCGGGGGCCAACCAGAGAAAAAAAAATTTTACTGACCTGTAAAAGTTGACAAGCAAATGTATATCTTTTATGGACCTCTTCTTCTAAAGAAGTTTAATATAGTCTGAAAATGGCTTCAACCACACAGCACTCTTAAATGCAAATAGAACTGTTTCTTGTGTTTATCACTATGATATGCGCAAGCCAATGATTTTTTTTCCCTTTTTTTTCGCATAAGATAGAGTCTTATCTTAATATTAAAAGGAAAAAAAATTGCATTTATTTTTAGAGAATTTTTTTGTGAGACTTTTAATAGGGAGAGCTAACGAGATTAAAATAACAAAATATCCGGTTTTCACATGTGCAGAATTGCATGGGTCAAGTAACAGGTAATGTAGCTCTTTCAAAAGCTGGAAAATGGGTTTGTTCCCATCTCTAAAATTCATCATTCCCATGTCGCCTTAGTAAGCTTTCAGGTGAATTAAGGTGATGAAGATTTAATATATTTAGCATAAAGTATTTTTTTTTAAATATGGTATTACATGTATTATTTCATTCACTGTATTCATAAATTCCAATTAACTATTAAATTCAATCTAAAAAATTTTATCATTTAAATTTTTATATTAACCCAGTAATAATATTTACAAATACTAAAATTCCCATTTCGCCTTAGTATCTTTTAACTTTTTCTTACCTGAATTTCACAGTTAAGGCGAAATGGGAACACACCGGAAAGGTTGTACCCTAAAAGCACATCAAAAGAAAACCTTGGGACTTGTTCTGTGAAATGCACATAACTTATCTTGCCATGCTTTTCCAGTGTTTGCTGAGCAAGGGAGCTAAATATGCATAGGTGCACTACATTCAGCTTTATAAAATTAATATTTTGTTACACTTTTATTCAACTTCCTTTTTCTTTGTCAAATATGTTCAGTAATTTTATATTTATTAAAAGGAATTTCCATGGACTTTCATGTGCTGTGATTTGGGCCGTGGATATCGGCCTGGATAGCTCAGTTGGTAGAGCAGCTGACTGGAGATGCAGGGGTCCCGGGTTCGTTTCCCGGTCCAGCAATACCTCCTTTCCTGTTACACATGAAATAAAACAAGGTTACATACTTTATCTTTATTGCATAGCCATGATAGAAAAAGTCAGAAAATTTCATTTTTTAGGATGGTACTATTCATTTCTTTTTTAAGTTCTGAGAGGGAATTTTCCAAAAAAAAAATAATATAGAATGGTATTATTCATTTCTTTTTTAAGTTGTGGGTGGGAATTCTCCAAAAAATAATATTGATGATGTCACTGTAACATAATTTTTGCATATATATACACGAAAAATATGATAATCATACACATTAAACTCGTACAATGCAAAATTATTGTCACATTTTAGTGTCTATGCTCTCCTGTTTTACAATGTTGTCATCAAACGCTTTGTTCGTATAGGCTGGAAAAGGAGATCCGTTGTTTTCTAGGGCTTCTTTCTCCGTTCTGTAACGAAATTTCTGAACAAAACAAAACGTCAACATTGGAACTAGGAAACAAGAAGCTGCAATGACGGCTCGTACGAAATTTTTGGTATACTTGTCCGTCCAAACGCGATATTTTGGACCTGAGATATTCAACCCTCGAAGAACTTGCGTGCGCACATTACGATTCGCATCCAGAATTTTGCAAATATAAACTCCACTCATTTCTTCGGTGATTTTATTTATTTTCAGCGTATATCCACGGATGTTGTTTTCAGTGATGATCTCGTAGCCAACTTCGTCTGCTACCAGAATTTTACCAGAAGGTAAAGTCCATTGTCCCGACTCTGACGTCGTGATGTTTGTTTCATAATCGTCACAAGTAAGATCGAAGGACTCTCCAAGATATGTATAAAAACTCCATTCCGTGGCAGAAAATGTTGGAACAAGAATCCCGAAAAACAGCACAAAACAATGTAAGGAAGACATGTCCACAAGCCGGTCTTTTAACGGTGTATTTCAGTTTACAAATGAATTTTTGGGTACTTAATGGATCTTTAATACCATGGACAATCGTCAATTTGCTATTAAACGTGTTCGTGCATAAAAGTTCACCAAGTCGCTTGAAATAAGAGAAGGGGTCTGTTTGCTTGTGTCAATTTATCCCCAGATTTGTAGAACACCGGACAAGTTCTAATTATACACAACGGACACCTTGAATAAAATGTAGTATTTTATAGTATTTTGATAAATAATGAAATGCAAAGATGAATAAAATAAAACGACCAGGTCAAGTGGAAAGTCCCTGCACCATGATAACTGGTTACCTGTAAGAAATTTATTTAACCTATAGGCTTATGTAATCGAGTGTGTGCTTGTTTTAAAATTGGAGCTACAAGTACGCAGGAAATGTAGCACTGTTTCCTTGACCTAACCATAATCAGATAACAGTCTGGATAATGCTGCGCAAAAAGCCCTTCGTTTGCGTCGCAGCAGTAAGCATGGTATGGGAAGGCCCGGAAAATGGACTAGGACTGATGAGATGCTATTCGATCAAAATAACTCATATCATATTTATTCACAGGCGCCTGACGTTACTTATTTTTCTTTTAATTAAAAAAAAAATATACACATTATTAGGTAAGTGTATATTTTTTTTATTAAAAGAAAAATAAGTAACGTCAGGTGCCTGTGTATTTATTGTATAAAAAAGATCCAAACTGGGTCAATATGAGAAGTTTTCGGGTAGAAAAGCGACCATTTTACAGCAAAGGGTTAATTAATATGCATATCAGTTTCCAATTGAACAGTTGGACACAGAAATGTTATATCTCTTTGTGATTTTATGTCATAAAAGTAAATTCTTAAAGCTGGTGACATTAATATTATTAATATAAATTGTCTAGTTCGCATTTCGGTGTTTCTTACAACTCTTGAATAATAATTTGAATGTTTCTACACTATACTTCCATCCTCTCTGAGATTATAATGGGTGTATTCCAATAACAATTATGTTGTAAAATTCTAGCAAAGTACTTGAAAAATGTAAACTTCAAAATTGCAACCCTTTAATCACTTTTATTCAACCTGGGATTAAGGATGGCTTTATCCGGAATTATGAGTTCCATTCAATTAGACTCGATTATTACCTTGTCTGAAAGCTTTCGTCAGGTGGCGTCACTTTACTTCCTCTTTTCCACATCATCACAGAAATTTCAACATGGTAAGAACATTTAATCATTTTATCGTAAATTAAACGATGATTTAGAACATTTTTCATTTATTTTAGAAGTTTTCTCCACGAACTGTTAGATGTAGAAATCTTTTTAATGTAAGATTTCACAGAATTTTCCGTAATGCTAATAATATTTTGATAAGCCGGTTTAACTGTTCCATGTTTTACTCCGTCAAACTGTCAAATTAATCTTAAATGAAATACAAAAAATATTTAATAATTTCTAGAAATATCAGTCTTTTCCAGTTATTTTTATTGAATTAGTAGACACTTTCTCTCAACAAATAAGTTGATATTAACTTGTATCGGTAAATCAAACATGACAAACAAAATGGTTTTCAAAAAAACATTGACAGCTGTTGAAGTAGAATGTAGTACATATTATGTAAACTGATGTATGCATGAATTCATAAGCATTAACAGATAGTGCGATATATGTATAATATAATTAAATTTGTTTTTAAGCATAGACACTGAGTCATTCATTTAAATTTATACATGCATTTCACTACCTTCATCTGCTTCAAAATGTTTTAGATTGATTAAATTTTATGCCTATATGTTTGAAAAATATTGTGTGGAAAGTAGGGATGTCAACAAATATTCGAGTACTCGACTATCGTTCGATCATACCGACTATCGACTAAAATTTCTTTAGTCGGTTATTCGTTAAAAACTTTGTTTCATCAAAGTAATTTTGAATTCAAGGCAATAAACTTATATTTGCCTATTTCATTTATTTACAGATCAATATTTTCATATGCAAAATTATGGGTATGGTTTAACTGTTCAAAGGAAATTTTTTGTACGTCGTTGTATGTTCGGCAAACATGTCTTCTATGTGAAATTTTCCTAAAGTAAGTTCTCAGCAAAATTGACAAAAAAAGCAGAGTGGGAAAGAAAAATCACAAACATGATTATTAATGATTGTCTACCTCTTACTGTTTTAAATGGAGAGGGCAATTTTTTACTTTTGTAGATTCAAACTAAGATCTGACGTGATACAACTATTCAGAAAGAATTCTAATTAAACAGCTATTACAAAATTGTAAATACATGTAAACTGGGGTCAGTTTAATATGAGAGTAATTAAACCGTGTTTTCTTTTTCTGATATTAATTTCATACAATCATTGATTGTTTGCACAAGATTTCATAATTAAAATTTATCCCAAGCTCTCGCTCTCTCTTTGTTTTTATAAGAGACACTCTTTCATTGTTTATCTGTCAGAGATCACTGACGGATACGTAGAAATTGGCTTCAGTTATGGGGAACATGTAAGAAAGGACAAATACTATCGTTTGATATCCTGCATTTAGATAAAATGTGCAGCTAATATATTAATTTTGAAATTAAATACACTGGGGACATATTGATGTACATTTTTTATTGTACATGTACAAAGTACATGTTAACAATTCAGAAATTCGTTGTATATATATAATGGTGATAACATAGGTTAAATATATTGTAAACTAGTCTGTAAAAAACAAACAGTGAAAATGATATGAAAAAATAATTAAAATTAAACGAATATTCGACTATCGTTCGACTAAAGCATCCGACTATTCCACTAAGCTGTCCGAGTAAAATTGACATCCCTAGTGGAAAGAAGTTTTAATGGATAACAGATAATTCAATTAGATTCAGATTCAAGATATAAATACAATATTTTTAGAATGTGCATGGTGTGAAATGGGGCTCATTAAACATGTTAGCAAGCTATTAAACCATCTATTTCAATAATTTCTAGATATAGTAAGATTTTTTTATGCAAAACTTCAATTTTAGTGTAACTTACCATAAAAATGAAAAGAAAAAGTTTATTTCTAATTCTAAATTCATTCCTAAAATGTATGATTTAAGGAATAATTTAAATTTCTACTTCAGCTTAAAGATTAGAAAATTATAATGTACAAAGAGGCCTTGGGGGATATTTGCTGTTCATAGAAATTCTTACATGTTCATGTATTTTTAAAAAAAGGAAGTTGTAAACAGTATGCCTATGGACAATAATGGGAACGGTTTATTCCCACTTAGCCAAAATTCTGAATTTCTTATTCCCATCTAGCCAAAATTGGGATTTTCACACCTGGGTGGTCACCTGTATATAGTCTGTTTTATGCTTAATTTACCTGTAATATTTACCTGTGATGTACTAGTTCATTAATCATATAAATAAATATCAAGAATAGTTGTTTTAGATATAAGAATAATGAATAAAGTCCTACTTATTAATTATTTTAAAATTCATACCTAATATCAATTAATTTAAAAAAAAAAAAAAAAAAAAAAAAATATTTATATTTTAAAGCACAGGTTATAGCTATGTTATGAATAGAGATAGTTATGAAAAGAGAATGGAGAATGTTAAGTATGATTTATTTAAATAAATTAATTTAAAAATGACTTGATAAATTCATTTATCAACATAGAGATAAAAAAAAATTAAACCCCAGACAAGAAAGAAAAAAATTGACATATTGGAATTATTACTTATACATGTAAATAACTAGGACAATAAAGAGATTGATAGAAAAAATGAAAAAGGAATTGAGTTTAATTTATTGTGTATAAATATTAGTGCTAATTATTAGAGCTTATGTACGCACATGATAAAAATTGAGATAAGTGCCTTCATGCACACGTGTGTTTATAATATATTTCTTATACGCATATGTGCAATTAAAAATAAGTATTTTATTGACAAAAAAATCAAAACAGTATAAACACAACTCATATAACCCTCAGTTGTAGTAACATTAAATTTGTTTAAATCATCAATATATAATTTGATTTATTTAGTACACTAGATTATTAAAAGTGTCCAAAACTGATATTAAATTCATAATGTACCAAAAAATTTCGTTTAGAAGTAAAGTCACTGCTTTAGAAAAAATGTCCATATTCATTTTGAAAACCCATTGATTTCTCACTTAGTATCAGATGCACAATGAAAATGAACAAAATGCATGTAATTTGAATGATAGTTTTTTTTTCAAGAAAAAAGAGAGAAAAAAACTTATACAACTCTGATCTTGCACAAGTATGAGCATAATTTATTTGTTATACGTTTATTTGAAAATGAACACTATTGGCCTTAACAATTATTTTATCATGCAACCATTTTATCAAATTCAATTTTTTTTTTAGATTAATTTGATTTTTTTCATTACATGAATTACAATTTAAACACATAATTTACGGTAGATAGGGTTAATCTAAAACAGACTATAGGTCACCTGTAATTAATTTCTTTTGTTCTCTTCCTCCCCTTACCTGTACACCATTCCCACTTAGCCAAAACCAGTCACCTGTACTTTTTTCAGAATTTTGGCTAAGTGGGAAGACACCATGGGAACATGGCTCACAACAGTTTCACCTAATATCATAAAATCTTTAACCATTTATGTTATTGCCATAAACCAATTTGAAATTTAAAAGAATAAATCACTAAAATCAATAAATAGATGCAGAGATTTGATAGAAAAGTTTATCAATTTTATGGTGAAACTAAATCATTATGTTCAAGTTTCTAAACTACAAGTATTGTAAAAGTCAAAAATTGGAATTTTCAATTAGAGTTTTATTTCAGAGTTTTATAATAAGAGAACAAATAAGAAAAAGAAAACTTTATAATCATACTTATACATTTGACATCATATAGATTTGATATATATTTTAACAACTGTGATAGGTATTGTATCCTTGGTACATTAAATCTTCCTCCATTTATAGCCAGCACCAGCAAGTTCCACCTCAGTAGGAGCAGGGCGAAGCCCCTCATCAAAGTCAGTCAGCCCAAGATCAGGGGGAGGTTCCACAGTCAGACAGAGGTGAGATTTTGGTGTATACATGTACAGTGCTCAAACTAATTAAAACTAGATGTTTGATCCTCTTGCATACTCGCTATACTGACATCTAAAAACATCCCATAGAGGGTCACGTCAGAGGTCAAATTCGGAAGATCTCAAGACGTATTCGCTTAAGCAATTTTAGGATGATTTTGCAGGCGACAATTTGATTGGTTGATAGAATTTTAGAATTTGACTTCTGACATGACCCTCTATGGGATGTTGTTAGATGTTAGTGTACTGAGTATGCAAGCAGGTCTAATTTCTACTTTTAATATTAGATTGGTACAATGCTCTGCATGATGAAAATGTATGAAACAACTTTAAGTTACATGTTATGATGTAAGAGGTATCCTCAAAAATTAAAAGTGAACATGGTGAAAGAATAACAAGTTGTAGAACTCAAAGCATTTATATTTATCTCAAGTTTTATTACTTTTATTCAATTATTTCATTTTGCATCTATAACAATTAAATATGGAATATGTAATTGAAAGAGTTATTGAATTACAAAAAAATCATGATATTGAAATGTTGTAAACATCTTGTTTTAAATGCAAAATGCCTAATGGGCAGTATTTAATCCTATGAATTTTTCTAATTTCAAGGATTTTTGAAATAATATACTTGGATTTATAGATGTTTATGTGTAACCTTATGATTTAGGAAAGCACCTTCTTCTGGTGGAGCCAAGAAAGCGGTGGCAGGTGGCGGGAGTGGTGCTGGAATGTGGAGATTTTACACAGAGGATTCTCCAGGAATTAAAGTGTAAGAATTTAATGTCATTATATGGCTCTTACATCCTTAAACATCTCCTGCACCCTTAAACTTATTGTCATTTATATGTGGTTCTCCTTTCTAAAACTAGACTCTGCATCCTCAACTTTTTTATTCCCTATTGATGGATATTTGAAAGAGAAAAAATTCTCCAGTTTATCTTGGAACTTATTTTTTATCAGTAGAGATGATGTGTTTCTATAAAGTAGTAGTGTGATGCAGAATTGTTTTAAAGAGGGTGATTGAGTTGTAAAAATTCATTAAAAAATCCTGTCCACATTTCTTGATATGTATTAAATGGTATCAAAATAATTTATAAAGTTTTTGAGATGGCCTATGGGAGACACCTCTATAACTCTGAATCAGTCACAAGTGTTTTAGTAAATACCAGTGTAACAATTTATATCATATTCTTGTCATATGAAATAACAAAATTAGTCATGACTGTTCAGATTCAGAGTGTGACCCATAAGAACATTTCAAGAAAAAAATAAAAGAAAACGAATTGTGAATGGCCAGTGGGAGAAAGATTTTTTTTTACACAAAATTATTTTTTTTTCTTCTTTAACTAAGTACTAGTGTTGGGAGAAATCATTAAATTGAAAGCAACTTGATACTAAAATAATTTTTTCTTTTAAACTTTTTTTTCAGAGGACCAGTACCAGTTCTTGTGATGAGTTTAATATTCATTGCATCTGTGTTCATGTTACACATATGGGGAAAATACACCAGATCATGAGACGGAGAAATTATGAAATCTGTGACTTATTCAAATAAAAACATTTCCAGGGAGTTGTGTCAGAAAACATTGACATTATAGAAATAATTCATGCATAACTTAAATTTTTTAAATATAATTTTTTTTCACATTTTGGAATGCAGCATTTTGTATATTATGTTTGTTAACATTTTTTTTGAAAGTTGAGTCATTTTGTGCAAGGGAAAAGTGGAAAGAGAGTATGTGAGAGAAATGAGAAAGAAAAAAATAAAAGATTTTATTGATATTGATATGTTTCTTATGGTTATAATGGTAACAAAAGAAATAAATACAGAGAAACACAATATTACAGAATTTTTCTTTGTAAATTGTAGGTATTTTATTATATTATACTTTCATGTAAATTAGCTGAATCTGATTGGTCGAGAAACATTTGGTAAAAAACACTATTACCCGCTGAATAATGAAGCCACGCCCTCCAGCATAGCAACAGTCAACATTGCTTGACGACGGGTGGTATTACAAAAAATAGCGACTGCGCAGAATTTATGCGCGCACGGTTCACTGTTATATGTATTTGTATAAAACATTCAGTATAATATAATAAATATTGCATTTAGTTGAATGTAACATTGAATATTTTCACCCCTCGAAAACCATTGTCAACCTCGGCTGCGCCTCGGTCGACAATGGTTTTCTTGGGGTGAAAATGTTCAGTGTTACACTCAACTACATGCAATATTTATATAATGTAGATGTTGTAAGAAAAAATGTAATGAACGATAACTCATATTATGAACTATAACTCATGATCTACCTGTTATAGGGCTGGTGTCCAGATACTTATTTCTAGACTTGCTTTCTCATATGTTACCCACAGCTGGGGTTCTGGATGGGTTAGACACTCTCTCTGATAAACCCCTATACATCTAATCCGTGTGGTGGTGTCATTGGTCCTCGAATTGATTTCGATTTTGAACTTGACGTGATACATTTTACTGAATTGGCTAAGTATTTTGAAAAGATTCATGTTATAGTTTTGAAAGTTTGTCATTATACTTAAAAATATTTTACATCCAAATTATCAATACTCTAAAATAAATTTTCAGAAAACAATGCACAAATTATGAATTTTCTAATTGCACAATGCCAACAAGTATAATTTAGACATTGTAAGTGCATTCAGGGAAAAGTATATGTTTGTTTTACTTATGCAGCATTAAAGTTTCTCTTTCAGCCAGAGTTGTTTTATATACCACATGAGAAGAGCACGTGGTATCATTGTAAGATGTATTACAGATCCATTTCTTGTAAAAACAATGATATCAGGTCCGTAAGAAGCAACTTTAGTGAAGGAGGGGGGGGGGGGTACGGCAATAATAACCAAAAGAAAAAACATTACAATTAATTATTTGCCAAACAAATCAAAAAAGTTCTGGGTTCATACTCAAAATTGCTATTTCGGAAATGGGATCCAACTTCTTCACAACCAAATTTTATTCATACAATACCACATTATCCTCATTTGAAAATAATTAATCAAAAGGTGAGGGACAAGCCTTTCAGGAAATATTTTAAATACTCTAGTAAAATATTATTTTGGGGAAAAAAGGGGACAAGGTCTCTCCCTCTGCCCCCCTCACCCCCCCCCCATTCCCGGATACTACGTTCCTGCAACACACGTATACACTGTGTATCCCGAAGATAATACATGAATTGAATTTTACAGCGCTTTGACATTTAAATTAAACCTTTAATGCATATTACTTGGATTGATAAACGCCGAGTCGGTCTTATTTCGGTGACCTAAGAAGTAAATCTATACATCATTACATTAATTCAAATTTATGTCCTTGTTGTTGATTTAAAAATCGATAGAACGTGAAAATTAGATCTACCATCTATTCTGATGCTCAAGCTTTTAAGTTCAAGAGATCCTCCTGCGTAATAAAATCCCACACAAACTTGCTATAGGTTTTACGCGTCGAAGAAGGGGCATCAAAACAAAGTTATAAAATACAATTGTATACACCAAACAGGAATTTAATTTTGTTAAAGTACTGTATTTTAAATTTATGTAGTTGTTTAACAACAAAATTAAGGTTTGGATGAACAAATAAAAAACCCACCATATAATATTTGGGTTTTTTAAGAACACAATTAAATATTCTTCTTTTTAGAACTGTACACACTGGCACCTGACGAATGTTTGGTGTAAACCCCCCCCCCCCCCTCCTGAGAATTTTTTAAAGATACGATGTTCAGCAAATACACATTTATTCCTAATCTAACCAAACCAACACTTCGATGTTTGATAAAACTTTAGCTCTACTGGTCAAAGATCAGAAGAGCATATGCGACACGAAGGTGTCCGTCCGTCTGTCTGTCTGTAAACAATTTTTCAAAATGCTACCCCTCCTACAGTTTTAGTCTGATTTCAATATAACTTGGCACATGAGTAGACTACACTAAGATAAATAGTTCTATTCATCGGTTTTTGATTTCGAAGGACGGTACCGGTGTTGCCATGGTTACTAAAAACAGAAATTCCTGTAAAATACTTTCAATATGCTAATCATCCAACAGTTGTAGTCTGATTTCAAAATAACTTGAGAAACAAGTAGACTACACTAAGAAACTACAGTTTTAGTCAGATTTCAATATAACTTGACACACAAGTACATGTAGTCAACACTAACTAAGACACACAAGATGTGTTTGTGAAACTCTATGCGCCCAGCGGCAACAAAGTTCGGAAAAAGCTATTTCTAGCATTAAGGTCACAAGGTCATTGACCTTGGTGTCATTTGAAAGAGCTTTATTAGTGAAGTATGCGTACCAAATATGAAATCTCAATCTCTCATGGTTCAAAAGTTATAGTGAGGTTCAAAAAAGCTATTTTTAGCATAGGTCACAGTCAAGGTCACAAGGTCATTAACCTTGGTGTCATTTGGAAGAACCTGATTAGTGGAGTATGCATACCAAATATGAAGTCTCTATCTTTCATGGTTCAAAAGTTATGGCAAAGGTTAAAGTTTGCAGGAAAAAAGCTATATTTAGCATATAGGCCACAGTTAAGGTCACTGACCTTGGTTTCATTTGATAGAACTTAACTAGTGGAGTCTGCATACCAAATAAGAAGTCTCTGTCTTTCATGGTTCAAAAGTTATGGTGAAGGTTAAAGTTCGAGACAAACAAACAAACAAACAAACAGACAGACAGACAGGACAAAAACAATACTAGTATACGCCCTGGATCTATCGATCCGGGCGCATAATATTTCTGTATATCAGTTTCAATTCCGAGAGACAGTGTTGCCGTGGATACTAAAAATAGAAATTTCTGTGAAATACATTTAAAATACTCCTCCTCCTGCAGTTTCGGTCTGATTTTAATATACTGTGGCATGGAAGTAGACTACACTTAGATACATAATTGTCTGTTATATATTTTTTTTAATTATTAATGATTGATGTGTCTGGTCGTAACCAAAATTGAAAATTCTGAAAAATTATTTTAAAAGGCTACTTCTGCAGTTATAGTCTTATTGCAATCTTGTCACAAAAAGAGGCTAAAGAATAAATCAAGGATCATTATTCTATTTGTTACGTTTGCAAAGTTTCAAGTCTAACTGCTACCTTTCCTCTTCCTTTGTTACAAGTACATACTAAGTAGTACATGTATATAGTATATATATGTAGGTCCCTGTAAAAACAAACCACTGAATTAAAGCTACAGTCTCATGTGCTCTTTTCATTTGGTCGATTTTATTTGTATATTTTTTTAGCTCTACTGGTCAGAGACCAGAAGAGCTTATGCGATAGTAATGCGTCCGTCGTCCGTCCGTCTGTCTGTCTGTCTGTCTGTCCGTCTGTAAACAATTTTTCAAAATGCTACTCCTCCTACAGTTTTGGTCTGATTTCAATATAACTTGGCACGCAAGTAGACTACACTAAGATACATAATAATTATTCTGTGTATCGGTTTTTGATTTCGATGAACGGTGTTGCCGTGGTTACTAAAAATAGAAATTTCTGTGAAATTCTTTCAAAATGCTACTCCTCCTACAGTTTTGGTCTGATTTCAATACAACTTGGCACACAAGTAGACTACACTAAGATACATAATTCTGTGTATCGGTTTTTGATTTGGATGAACCGTGTTGCCGTGGTTACTAAAAATAGAAATTTCTGTGAAATTCTTTCAAAATGCTACTCCTACCTTAAGTTTTGGTTTGATTTCAATATAACTTGGCACACAAGTAGACTACACTAAGATACATAATTCTGTGTATTGGTTTTTGATTTGGATGAACGGTGTTGTCGTGGTTACTAAAAATAGAAATTTCTGTGAAATTCTTTCAAAATGCTACTTCTCCTACAGTTTTGGTCTGATTTCAATATAACTTGGCACACAAGTAGACTACACTAAGATACATAATTCTGTATATCGGTCTTTGATTTGGATGAACGGTGTTGTCGTGGTTACTAAAAATAGAAATTTCTGTGAAATTCTTTCAAAATGCTACTCCTCCTACAGTTTTGGTCTGATTTCAATTTAACTTGGCACACAAGTAGACTACACTAAGATACATAATTCTGTGTATCGGTTTTTGATTTCGATGAACGGTGTTGCCGTGGTTACTAAAAATAGAAATTTCTGTGAAATTCTTTCAAAATGCTACTCCTCCTACAGTTTTGGTCTGATTTCAATATAACTTGGCACACAAGTAGACTACACTAAGATACATAATTATGTGTATCGGTTTTTGATTTGGATGAACGGTGTTGCCGTGGTTACTAAAAATAGAAATTTCTGTGAAATTCTTTCAAAATGCTACTCCTCCTACAGTTTTGGTCTGATTTCAATATAACTTGACACACAAGTAGAACACACTAAGGTACATAAATCTATTTATCAGTTTTTGATTTCGATGAACTGTGTTGACGTGCTTCTAAAAATAGAAATTTCCGTGAAATTCTTTCAAAATGCTACTCCTCCTACAGTTTTGGTCTGATTTCAATGTAACTTGGCACACAAGTAGACTACACTAAGGTACATAATTCTGTATATCGGTTTTTGATTTCGATGAACGGTGTTGCCTTGGTTACTAAAAATAGAAATTTCTGTGAAATTATTTCAAAATGCTACACCTCCTACAGTTTTGGTCTGATTTCAATATAACTTGGCACACAAGTAGACTACACTAAGGTACATAATTCTGTGTATAGTTTTTCACTTCAATGAACGGTGTTGCCACGGTTACAAAAAATAGAAATTTCTGTTTAATACACTCAAAATGCTACTCCAAATACAGTTTTAGTCTGATTATAATGTAATGTGG